TTGTCAACCTTGGGGCTTCTCAGCCTCAGCAGCCAGCAGCTGTCTGAGTGAAGAAATGCCTCTAGCTCCAGTGGGCCGGGAGCAGGAGGCAGAGCTGGACCCCAAGGTTGAGGGGCTTTCACCTAGCCCCTAGAGTCTGGCACTTTAAATTTGGACTTAAAGCCTCCAAATTGTAAGAATAAACTCCTATTTGTTTAAGCCATCCCATTTGTGGTATATTTCTTGTCAGAGTGGCACTAGGTGACCAAAGAGAGAGAACCACCCAGCGAGAACCACTGGTAATATTTGGATGTATTTCCTTCCCATGTTTTCCATGTGTATTCATTACACAGTTTTGATAATACAATTTCATTACCAACAACATAACATAAGCATTTATCCCTGATATTCAGTACTGCAGTCTTCCTTATTCAGCTCTTACATGTATATGAGGCTTTTGAAAAGACCATGGCTTGAGTCAGGCACACCTTAGTCTTCAAAGTGATGATTTTGCTCTTTAACACTTTAAATAGATCTTTTGTAGCAGATGTCCTCAATGCAGTATGTCATTTGATTTCTTTTTTTCTCTTTTCTTACTGTGATTTGGATGAAAATTTACAGAGTAAATTCACTTTCCATACAGCAGTTTACATACACTTTGTCTCATGACATTCACTACAATTTACCACAATGCAACAGCTCCCCTCCCACTTCCTCCCGATAGTTATCTCTTCCCTGTGTCCATCCCTCCATGCACTCCTGTCCCCTGAGCTGTCTCCCTGTGCATAAACAGCCCTATTTCTCCCATGATTGTTCTCTCCAAGGAGTGTATCTACCTCAGGTAAATGTTCAAGTAATGTGCCTGTCTTTTGTTTGGCTGGAAGCCACAGGTGTGGGTTAAATTCCAGATCTGAAGGGCAGCTAGGGGCCATAGTCTCAGTGGTTCCCCCAGGCTCTATCAGACCGGCAAACCTGGTCCTTGCTTTTTTTTTTTTCTCCAAATGATTTTGAGTTTTGTTCCACATTGTTCTCCCTCTCTATCCAGGATCTCCTACATAGATCCCCGTCCAAGTGATTGACAGTGGTAGCCAGGCACCCTCTAGTTTTTCTGGTCTCATAGTCATATAGGCTGCAGATCGCATGGTGTACCAGTTGCTAGGACTAGTTGTTTCCATGAATCTTTGGTTTTCTTCATTCTTCTTTGCTCTGGACGAGGAGAGACCCATCATTGCATCTAGATGGCTGCTTGCAACCTTTTAAGATCCCAGTTGCTACTCACCAAAGTAGGAGGTGGAACAATGTTTTGTGTAGTATGTTATGCCAATTGAGCGTGATGTCCCCTGCGACTATGGTTCCGAGCCCACATGTTCAACTACTCAGTCCCTCTGGGTAGCTGGCTATGACCAAGAAGTGATTACAATCTTGTCCCTTGTCAGCTCTGCTATACACCTGGGAATTCTTATAGATCATACAAATACACTTATAGGATGCTGAGAGTTTTTTATCAGGAAAGAGTGTTGAATTTTATCAGATGGTTTTTCTACATCAATTGATACGGTCATATGGCTTTTTTCCTTTGATTTATTTATGTGGTGGATTACATTGATTTTCTAACGTTAAACCTCCCTTATAATCCTGGTATGAATCCCACTTAATCGTGGTATGTGACTTTTTTTTTTTTTTTTTTTTT